CCTTCAATTTACATGCGGAACAACTTACTCCCAGCGGCCGCGGGAGGCAACTCCGACTACATTTTGTTCACTTTACACTTACTTCTAAAAATTTTCTTCTCTGTCTATCCTATTTCTCAACCCCCAAAACTCTATAACCCCCGTTTTTGCAGGACAAAATGCTCGGACTAAGGGTATATGACTGGGCCTACATAAACTACTTTTGCCAATCGATGTATTGGTTTGGTGACGGCGTACAGAGCCCCGCGCATTTACCTGCGGACTTGCATTGTCAATGCTAATTGAGTGGCTTGCACTCCTTGTTGTTGTCGTTGCCTTTTTTGCTGCTGCGGCTGTGCCAATGTCTCATTAGTCTTCTTTTTACTCTCGCCGACACCTGGAACGCAATATTATGCCTCCATTCACTATCCACTAACCCAGAGAGTTCTTAAGTGTTCCGTCCAGTTCTTCAGCCTGTACATTTCGGGGAGGGTGAGAGAGTTCGAACTTCCATGTCCTCGTTACGGTTTTAACCACATTATTTCCAAAGAAGTAGTGGTGGATATGTCCATCCCGAGTGCATATTTATACATCTTTTTAAGATATCCAACAGTAACTTCAAAAAATACTAAAAATACATAACCTTAACACTCACTTCATCTGTTTGACGATGGTACTTTTTCCAGACTCCCCAGCACCTAGCAGAGGAAAAAAAGCAAAAGTTGCACTTCGCCAAAAAGGAAAACAACAATAGACTGCAAGCTGAGACCATAATTCGGCATAAATAACTAACAGCTGACGACGGCAAAGGCCTTCCTGGAAGTCTCATTGTCTTTGTTGGCAAAACATAAAACAAAAATAGTGCCAAATCCACTCTTCCTCGAATTTTCGAGCTTCAAGTAAAAGTAGGCTTTTTTCTTCAAAAAGCAAGCGTACTTCCCCCAAAAAGTATACGACCAGATCTGAATCCATTGAAAAAATATTACGTACACTTTGTGGCCTCTTCTTGTTAGTGCAGAGAAGCGTTTTTTCCGCCTGGATATCCTCTATAGGGTACGAAGGCTGGAAAGCTTGAATACAATGGTAACGCCTGGTTGGGTGAAAATTTTCGGACAATTCAGAAACCCTTTGAAACCTGAAAATGCCCTTTTCAAGTATGAAATTTGCAGAAGGCGTAACCCGTTACGAAATGAGTACAAGAAGAAATACTTTCGTGCATGTTTTCTATAGAACAGGGTATTAACATCAGCATACCTCTTAAGTAACCATATTTTAGAGACGAAGATTACTAGATTAGCAGAATTTAATGATGACATAAATTTCGTGTGCTCTCTTTCAGCTGCAGACGGTCGTTGCCTATTAATAAGAGAATTAACTGTCCAATTTAATTTCAGCTTCGAAG